CTGATGCCGTAATATGTGATTCAACAGTTTGCTGTTTGAAAATTTTGAAAAACCCACACGGAAAAGTCGGTTTTAATGAAGCCAGTAGTGTTCAGGAAGATCGAGGCAAGACGCCCATCTAAAGTTGATTTAGGCATTGTCGCTTCCACTGAATGTTGTGAATTGAAAATGGCCAAGTTTGGAGGTCCACAATGATCATCTTGTGTTGATGTTTCAGTTGTAAAAACCGGTTGGGCCAGCTTTTGCCCATATGGATTTCAGATACCTACTGTTGCACAACGTTGAAGAATTCTTTAGCGATCTTATTAAAGGTCGGCGGTGTTGGATTTTAAATCACTTTTGCAATGGCGAATATTGCAAATTTTCGTTTCAGATAAATGTTTCAATTTGCCAAAATGAACTTGACCTGAACATACAGTTCAAATGATTGAAATTCCTAATTTGAAACCCAGAAAGATCGAAAGTTGAACTTTGTCCTTAAAGATTTAACTATTTCCAGGTGAAGATCATATTTCCTTTGCGCCAATTTTAAGAACATTCGTTTGACAAAATACACATCGGATTTCTAGTCAGCTTAATGCATCAGTTTCTAACGCTTTTAAAGTTAGAACGCATCTTATCTGGTGCCCATGTTCATTTATAAAACCAGCAGATTATCAGCCAACTACACGGCATTGGGGATTCGGGAATAGCAGGAAGACGATTTATGTGTTAGTGGGTCTAGGTTGAATCGCTGCGGATTCGCCGGATGCATCGCGGCGCCTGTGACGTCACGGGAACGGGTGACGTCGGCAAATAAAGCTTGCGCCAAAATGCACTCGATTCAGCCGGGCGTTTTGGATAAAACTGGGCAAAAGGGGAATTGTTGTCGTTTGATTCTGGAAGCGCTCCATGGCCTATTTCAGGCAGTAGCGCTGGGTTTCAACCGTTTTTTGCAACTAAACCGCTATTGTAACTGTTCCAGTATAGTTTCTTTGCCTGCTTTCAGCACGGCGTATATTCATCGCATACATAGCTGTTTCTACCTTCTAAACGTCCATTAGCTTTTGTCTAGATCCAGCAGGCAGAATAAACCCGAGCGAGATTGTATGTACGTCGTGATTCAGGCAATATTGTTCCAGGGATCAATTTTCCTGCAACAATATCGTTATTGTGTTGCGAATGTTGCAAGCGCTGAATGACGATATCTCATTTTCAAGAATGGCCGACGTAAGATTCGGAAGCATTTTATCTTGGAACGGACGTTGTCTGTTCCCTACTTCGTATGGAAATGTTGACACCGTGTAGATAAATGACCGGTAAATAGGATAGATTTATGGAAAATATTAGGGGATGTTCTATTTACATATTTTCCATGCATATGAATGAGTGTTGCTTTCTCCGTAATTGATGGTTTATGGAGGAAGTAGATGGAAGAGTTTCATTTTGGGTCAATTTCTTGCGGTTTGAAAAAACTGTGGTTTTGGAATAACATTATTTAGTTTTCGGCAATAGCGTACATAGATATTTTCATTGTGTTCTTCAGACAGTCTCTTGTTGGGTTCAAAAGTTGACATTTTCCAAAGGAAAGTGACTATTGCGGAATTGGAATGGAAAATTGGTCGCTTTGATATTCATTAACAGTCTTAATTTTTGAGGATATTTATCACAATATTCTGTATTTTGTCTTTTTGTCGTGAAAATTATGTAGTCTGAAGTACTTGGACGAGTTCTTCGTTGCCATCCAATTTAAACAGTTGAAGCTTGTTTTTTGGCCAAAAGGTTTGTGAGGAGTAGAGGCCGGTTTTTTTCAAAAATATCAAGTTTTTTAAAATGCTTGCAATTCTAGATCATTTTCATACAAAGGAAGGAAGGAATGCAACCACATAATTGAAAAACACTCTAAGACTTTTGATCTTTGTTTTTAGCGGTCGCGTTTTTAAGCCGACGAGATCTTCCTTATTACGCATCCAAATACTGTTTATTATTATTTTTTTAGGTCACAAACAAACAATTGAGCTGCAAAATGTGCATGTAAAATTTTGAATTTTGATCGAAAATTTCATAAGGGGTGGAGGTTAATTTAAAAAAATGTACTAAATGTCTTTAAAGTGCCTCGAATTCTACATCATTTTTACCTAATCGAAGCGAGGAATGCAATGAGCTCATCGAGAAACACGTTGAAATCTTTAGATATAAAATAATTGGAATTTTGACCTATTTTTAGCAGTTTTTAGCGGGCTCGTTATTTAACCGCCAATATCTGTCTTTTTT